ATTTGGATTCTGTTATTTGATACAGCTCTTTGTGATTTTGTAGCACCAGCCCACAAGATTTGAAGAAGGACGATTCTAGCTCTGCCTCTCAGGTTTCCTTTTCTCAAAACCCTCCTTAACCATCAACCTGAAAAACTGGTTGTATGCAGCGGACAGTTTAAATATTTCTGAACAAGTTTGGAGCCATGTTTAGCATCCCGCTGCAACTTTCTTATAAATGATGAATTTTGTACAATCTGTGCAAATAGGGGACCAAAAGCTTACCCAGGTTCATACAGATTTTCAGGAAATATCAACTCCTAATTGGTCAATAAACACACAAGTGGGCGTTGCAATCTGCCCACGTACAATATATTTTTCCCGCGCGTGAACAAATCAAGTTTTCCCGCCATTTTTCTGTGGTCTTATCGCGTGATTACATTAATTAAAAATAGCAGACACAAGCTGAGATGAGGTATTACGTACACTATTTACATTATTCGGACTATTTTCCTCATCTTTGTTGCCATATTTATCCGATCCTTTGGTATCTGTCTATATTTCTGAGATGAGGTATTATGTACACTATTTACATTATTCAGACTATTGTCCTCATCTTTGTTGCCATATTTATCTGATCCTTCAGTATCTGTCTATATTTCTGAGATAAGGTATTATGTACACTATTTACATTATTCGGACTATTGTCCTCATCTTTGTGGCCATATTTATCCGATCCTTCAGTATCTGTCTATATTTCTGAGATATCGTATTATGTACATTATTTATTGTTGTGGATTCCGGGATGAAATCCGGTACCAATAAATAACAAATGCCAAGAATGAATATAGGAAAATAATGTATTAACGTAATAATACAAACTGGTAATGCAGGTTAGTAGTTCCAGGAATACGGGTTAGTAGTAAAATATCTATACAGTCTTTGGTATTGAAGTATCGCTGTATAACTTCTTACTGAGTCTACGTGTTCGCTCACTGTGACTCCTACAACGCTGTTACCTCACCCTCACTCTTCCGGTTACCTACAACCTTTTACCCAGTCACTCTGGACTCGACTCGACTCCTCGGTCTTGCTCTCTCGGGTCTTCACGTAGCCGTAGTATATGTATATACTGGGTGAGTCCATTTGTGTAAAAAAAACCCCTAAATAGAATCCTTAAATATTTATATTATTCGATAATTGTCCTCATCTTTGTCGCCATATTTATCCGATCCTTCAAATATCTGTCTATATTTCTGAGATGAGGTATTCTTTACATCTATTTAGACTTATTCGACTATTGTCCTCATCTTTGTTGCCATATTTGGTCCGATCCTTCAGTATCTGTCTATATTTCTGAGATGAGGTATTATTATTCATTATTTACATTATTCAAACTATTGTCCTCATCTTTGTCGCCATATTTATTACAACGTTTCGACACATGTCACACGCTAAATGATGTAATAAATAAGGAATGGATAAAACGCTTCTGAAATTGTAAAAAATAATTCACTTAATTGAAAATAGGCACCATATTGATGAATGACTCTTCTCAACATACCTCTAAATTTTTTGATCCCATCTTTATAAAACTCTCATTCTTCGATTTGATAAACAGTTCAAATGCTTCGGTTATCACTTCCTGATTCGAGAATATTTTATTAAGTATGTAAAGTTCAAAATGCTCAATGTTAAGTGATAATCAGTAGGAAAGATATCAAGTGAATATTGAGGATGAGGCAACATTTCATAATCCAGGCTATGCAGCTTTTTTTTTTCTTGTTTGAGAAAGCGTTCGGCCCTTCAATATTAAATCGTGCAGAAAAATTTGGCCATCCCTATTCACAAGTCTAGGATGTTTTTTTTCAATTTTTAGTGCATTAATTTCTTCACAATACGAGGTTGCTGATATTGTTTTCCCTTGAGGCAAGAATGAATAATGAATAACCCTTTTGAAAGGCCACCATTCAGCAACCATTTACTTTTTAGGATGCAGTGGAGGTTTTGGGTATTGTTTTGGTGATTCACTTGCATTGAACCATTGGCCTAATCTCTTAATATTGTATCCATTTCTCATCGCTTGTAATAATTCGATGCGAACATGATTAATTTTCCAGTCGATAAAGCATGCAGTAAGATTACTCGACATTGTTTCATTGTAATTATTTTCATTGGGCTTGATATATTGAAAGGAAAAGAGTCGGGAATAAGTCAAGATTTTTTTATGTACTAAGGAGGTTACTTTGTTAGACGACCGGATCAACAACAACCAAAAATGCGTCATTTCATATGTGACAATCTAATAAAATAATGACATCATCAAGATGTTGACATTCCACACTACTTCAAACAAAAAAGTTGGAAGGAAACTCCCATCGACACTGGAAAAAAAGACTAACACTTAAAGACTTGAAATTATATTTTCCTGAGGAGTTGTTTTTGAAAAAGTTTTTCTATATTGTTGTTACTTTTTCATTAAAGTTTAACTCTCTGCCTTCATTACAATGAGATACAATTTATACGAGGCTCCGCCTAAGGGCAAGAAAATCTTAATCAGGGTGGTTGATGCCCCTTAAAACCGTTTATGCAATTTCAAAAATTATTTTTTTTTATATTAGCCTACGGGCTCGGAGATTCCATTTTAAACCCGGCCTTGTGCCAGATTTAACCCTCGAAAGGTCCTTCTAGCAAAATATTACTACCAAATAATATGTTTAAAGGAGAGGTTTGAAATTCAAATATAATATAGCATTATCGTCATATCTGGGTTTTTAAATCGATCCCCACTGTCCTCCTTTGATAGAATTCAAAATCATTCATACAATCTTTTCTTGTATAAAAATGAAGTTGTTCTCTTCTGCAGCCTCATTCCAGTTTTGATGATTTCCTTTACATCTAATCACTGGCTTACTTTTTTTACTGTTGTTGTCATAATATCCATTTTTCATCGCATGTAATGATTCGATGTAAAATAGGTTCTTTTCCCAGTTTGTACTCATACAATAAGATTAATTGTTTCATTATCTTGTAACCTAGAATGGATTACTGAATGAGGATTAACCAAAATGGAAGTTGGAAATGAAATGGTAATCTTTATAACGGCAACAAAATACAATACTTTATAAGCGGCGAATAGGTAAACCACTGCTAATGGTGGACTAATTATTTTTGAGCATGTTACTTTTTTATACTTACAATAAAAATCCAACGTATTTATTAAGATTGGGACATACCGATTAGTTTCCATATATTGGTATATAACAGATAGATATATAATAGAATGAGTAGATAGATATGGATAGATAGATAGATATAGATAGATAGATTTGTTGTAACCTAGAAATGGTTACTGAATGAGGAATAACCAAAACGGAGGTTGGAAATGAAATGGTAATCTTTATAACATCAACAAAATACAATACTCGCCAGCGGCGTGAAGTAGGTAAACCACTGCTAGTGGTGGACTACTTATACAGCATGTTACTCCCACTTACAATAGTGTTCAACGTATTTATGAGGATTGGGACATACATTTTACTGTTCATAGGTACGGTATATAACACATTGTAATTATTTTTATTGGGCTTATGAGTAACAATATATTAAAAGAAAAATTATCTGGAAAGAAAAAAAGAGTCAAAAATAAGTCAAAATTTTTTATCTACTATTAACCGGATCAACAACCAACCAAGAAATGCATTATTTCATGTGTGGCAATCTAATATGTATCTATTGTCAAAGATTCTGATATTGTTGTTACTATTACCAATATCTTTACAGAAGTCAAATCAAGTCAAATCTATCTTTTCTACAAATATTTTCATGGTAATAATTCTGATATGCTTTCCTCTGTTGAAATTGTTAGATGTAACTGTAAGTTCTATGCTAATAGGGTCTTCTCTTGCACTTCTTACTCGTGGAACTCTCTTTCGGCTTTTTGCTTTCCTGTCAAGTACGATCTTAAAAAATATTTAAACGCACTGTCATCTTCTGTCTTGTCTTAATCCTATTCTTTTACTGTGCTTTCACTCCTCAGTCATGTTTACTCAGTTTCTTTCACTCTCAAGCCCCCCCTTGCGTCTTAGTGGCTTTATTGCCTTGCTGGGGATTAAATGATTAAAAAATATTTTGTTGGCTAAAAAGTTAAAAAAAAAAAATACATAAAGCATTAGTGCGTTTAATTTGATTTTAAAAGTTTTTGTTGTGTCATCTTTTTTTTTTAAATTGTCAGGCTTGGTTTTAAATTGTTTATTGAATGTGACGTTGAAAATCGCAGGAAATAAGCATAATTTTCAGAATATAGACATTTTTTTTTTTTTTTAAGAAGGTAAAATTTTCGACTCAAAAAAGTACTGAATAAAAAAAAAGTTTTTGTAAATTTTGAAAGTGTCAAAAACGGTTTGCGATGAATTGTGCAAGAGATTTATTGCTTATTGATAGATACATCAATTTGCATGGACTAGATGAGGTTGATGGCGTTTTAAAATAAAAAGAAAAGAAAGAAAGAAAGAAGATGAAAATTTTAAGAAAGAAAGGAAAAAAAATAAAGAGAGAAAAGAAGAAATTAAAGAATGAAGAAAGAAAAAGAAAGGAAGAAGAAAGAAAAGAAAGAAAAAATGAGAAAAAGTCGAAAATAGAAAAAAGAAAGAAAGAAAGAACAATTAAGAAAACAAAGATAAGAAAAAATAATGCAAAGTAAGAAAGAAAAAAGAAAGAAAGAAAGAAAGAAAAAAAGAAAGAAAGAAAGAAGAAATGAAAGAAGAAAAGTCAAAAGAAAAGAATGAGAAGAAAAGGACAAAATAGAAAGAAAGAAAGAAAGAAAGAAAGAAAAAGGAAATGAAGAAACATTGGAAATTCTTAAAGAAAAGAAGGAAAAAAAAATTTTAAAAAAAAAGAAAGGCGGGGAATGCAAAATGAAGGAAAGTAGAAAGGAATGGAAAGGGAAATTTAGAAAGAAAGAAAGAAAAAATAAAGAAAGAAAGAAAGAAAAAAGAAATGAAAAAAAAGGAAAAGAAAAATCAAAAGAAAAGAAGAATTAAAAGAAAAGGAAAAAAATAGAAAAGAAAGAATGAAAAAGAAAAAAGAAAGAAAGAAAATAACAAAGGAATTTTTTCATAGGAAAGAAAAATACAAAGAAAGAAAGAAAAAAGAAGAGGGACAAAAGAAAGAAAGAGACAAAAATAGAAAGAAAGAAAATAAGAAAAAGAAAGAGACAGAAACGAGAAAGAAAGAAAGAAACAAAGAAACAAAATAGAAACAATGGAACAGAAAAATAGAAAACAAAAATGCAAAGAAAGAAAAAAGAAAGAAAGAAAAACGGAAAGATGAAAGAGAAAGAAAAGAAGAATGTAAAGAAGATGACAAAAATAGAAAGAAAGAAAGAAAGAAAGACAACAAAGGAATAGAAAAATAGGAAAGAAAATAACAAAGAAAGAAAGAGAGCCAAAAGAAAACTGGAAAAAAGCAAAGAATAAAAGAAAAATAAGAAAAAAAAACATAAAGAGATAAAACTGAAATGAAGAATTCAAAAAAAAAATGACAGAAGAAATTAGAAAAAAAAAAAACGAGCAAGAAAATAAATAATTAAAAAAAAACCCAGAAAATGTCAAGGAAAATAGAAAGTCAATCAAGCCGAAGTTGAAATGACAATGAGAGAAAAGGGGTTTTTCACGGCATGAATAAAAAGAATAAAAAAAAGGCGGGCAGCAAAGAAAGACTTTCAAGGAATAAAAAAGCCAAAAGCTTTCACAAATCTTAGAGTCAATGATTTAGAATCAATCAAGCAGCAGTCGAAGAATTACACTGTTTATTGCATTGAATTAGCTCAAGAGATTGCCTCAGATTTTAGCCATAAAAGAATCCAGTTTGAGTGTATGTGACGGTATATGCATTCCATATATGTGTGTGGCAATGGTACTGGTTATATTAACCATTTCTCTACAAGAAATCAGTTGGCATTCATTAACTGAGCGGCAAGGACTGCTTCCGGTTGAAATTTTTGAAAACTTTTTCTTCAAACAATTTTTCAGGAAAATAGGTTTCTCAAGTTCAGTTGCTTGCATCGATCTTTCCAGTATTGACTGGGGTTTTCCTTTCAGTTCTGTCTACCCAATCTAACTCACCAGGCCTTGTTCAACCCGTGGTAAGGTTTATTAGGTACATTCTAAAGGCGTCGAACACTTCGATCACCTCCCCAACAACCTTCTTGACAAATCGACAATGATGAGATTCAAAGACAGGTCTCATGGTCAGAAAGTAAATATTCTAACCATCGAGCAATTCACCTATACATATATTTTTTTCAGTTATTTGTTTGAATAGTCTTGTTCTTATGTACACCGTCTTTGTCATGTTATATTGATAATGTTATAATTTATGAATATGTCCTGAAGATGGTTTATTAGACCGAAACGTCCGACTTTGACATATATTAACATTAAAAAGCAGCATAATTGTATATAGGATTTTGTTTTGTTTTTTCCGTATATATTTGTTTTTCATACTGTCGGATCTATATCCATATATTTGCTTATATATATATATATATATATATATATATATATATATATATATATATATATATATATATATTTTCTAGATAGGTATTATGAACATTATTTATATTATTCGGACTGTTGTCCCTCATCTTTGTCGCCATATTGATTACAACGTTTCGGCCGTTGTACGCTCCAGCCTTCATCAGGTGGTTGGAATGTCGAACTTAACCCTTTATTTCGCTCACTGGGGTAGACTGTTCTAGTTCCACGTGCCATGTTTAATGTAAGTCAGTTATTCGTTATCTCCTGTTAATTCCCCTCTGAAAGTTCTCCACTGCCTTAACCGGGTATTGAACTCACACTCCTTGGGTCCTGTCACTGGATCTGACCAACGTGTTTATCCACTGTGCCATGTATCCTTGAGGACATTCCAACCACCTGAAGAAGGCCGGAGCGTACAACAGCCAAAACGTTGTAATAAATATGGCGACAAACATGAGGACAATAGTCCGAATAATATATATATATATATATATATATATATATATATATATATATATATATATATATATATATATATATATATATAAAGTAACCAAAAATGTTCTGTCCGTTTTTAAAGGAAAAAAAAAACGCTTCACAGTATGTTAACTTATATTTAGTCTTCGAAGTAATCGCCATCGGCATCCAGCAGCTTCTGCCAACGTCTCTTCAACTGTTCAATGCCTTTGCGGTAAAAATCGGGGTGGGGGGTGACGCAAAGAAGTCCGTGAGGGCTTTGCGCAAGTCTGCTTCATTGGTGAAGGATTTCCTACGAAGATGATTACCCAGGGAGTGGAAGAGGTGGTAATCGGATGGCGCAAGGTCAGGTGAATAAGGTGGATGGCACAAAGTTGCTGTATGGTATCCCTGACCACTCGCGCGACATGCGGCCTGGCGTTGTCATGGAGGAAAAGCACACCTTTGCGATTCACCAATGCTGGCTCCTTCTGACGCAATGCCTGTTGTACACGTTTCAATTGCTGTGAGTATAGGTCTCCAGTGACTGTTTGGCCCGTTGGTAGCAGTTCATTGACGACCTGTCCACCAGACACAAAGCATAATCTTGCGTGGGTGCATAGGCGGTCTTGCGGTGTGAGGGACAGCATCCTGAGGAGACAACCAATGTCTGGAACGCTTGGGAGTTTCGTACAGAACCCACTTTTCATCACTGGTAAGCACTTGATTGAATAAGGATGCGGTACGGTGGCGGGAAAGCAGCGATACGCAGGCTGCCACTCATTGTCCCTTGTGGACCTCCAACAGCGTTTGCGGAACCCACTTGCTCAGTTTGTACGTCTTACCTGGGCGGTGCAGGTGAAGTCTAACTGTTTCATCGGAAACGTTGAACTGGCTTGTAAGTTCACCACACGTTAGACTACTTTCCTCTTCAATGGCCGCCTTCAGGACTCCGTAATTCAAGACCTGTGGTCGTCCACTGCGAGGCTCATCATGGAGAGACAAATCTCCCAACTTGAATTTTCGAAACCAACGCCTTGCAGTACGTTCATCTACATCACTATCCCCAAACGCTTGACATATGCGGCGACTTGATGCAGCTGTTGATAAGCCCACTTTGAAGTCGTAAAGCAAACAGCCCCGAACGAGATCTCTAGACACTTCCATCCTTCTCACAGCTGTCCGGCTTATAACTGATGGCCGGGCATGGTACGCGTGGTTTTTATAACGTCTGATGTTCCTACTTCCGGCTGTCCGAATTTGAAAACAATCGCTACACGCATTTCGTATATATTTCAATTTCATTCAATGACTAACTTATATATATATATATCTATATATATTATAAATAGTAATTCGGACTTTGGTAACCAAAAAGCTTCTCTTCGGCTAAATAGTAACAGCACAGCATTCTCATATGGCCTACAAGATCGATTCCTGTCGGAGAACACATACTTTCTACGAAATTTCTTGAACATTCAGGCTGGCAAATATAATTAATACTGTTTAATAAAAATACAGAGAATTTACTTAAATTATATCTACAAAAATGATGCATAAACAGAAAATGTATTAAATATTTGTCAAACTCAATCAATTTCATAATTTATCTATCTTAGTTTTTTATCAATTTATATATCTATCAATATATCTCCGACTGTTTACATCTATCCATCTCAGTCTGTTCGTGTTTGTCTATCTATTGATCTATCTTTCTGTTCATTATCTAAGTCTCTTCATATCTATTTATCTCAATCTGATCATTATCTATCTATCTATCTATCTATCTATCTATCTATCTCAGTATGATCATATCTATCTACCTATCTATCTCAGCCTGTTCAAATCTATCTATCTATCTATCTATCTATCTATCTATCTATCTATCTATCTATCTATTTAAGCCTCTTCATATCTATTCATCTCAATCTGATCATATCTATCTATCTATCTATCTATCTATCTATCTATTCATTATCTTTCTCAGTCTGTTCATATCTATCTATCTATCTATCTATCTATCTATGTCACTGTTCATTATCTTTCTGTTTTTTCATATCTATTTATCTGTGTCACTGTTCATTATCTATCTCAGTCTATATTCAACATTTCACCACAAGCAAAGTAATAAAAGCCACTCCAATGCAAGGGGTTACTGAGAGTGAAATGCTGAATTAGCCATGCGTTAAATAGAATCTAATATGTTCAGAATAAATTAGTGAATTATGCCTATTTTATAATCTGACATATTTATACACCTGGTCGTCTCATATCAAATCTATCTCAATCTGTTCATCAGTCCTCCTCTCTCACTCTATCTATCTATCTATCTATCTATCTATCTATCTATCTATCTATCTATCTCAGCCAGTTTACATCTATCTATCTTTATCTATCTATTCATCTATCTATCTATCTATCTATCTATCTATCTATCTATCTATCTATTTTCCAAATATATCTATCTATTATTCTCTATCTATCTATCTTCTTCATTATTCTATCCATCTATTGAATCTATCTGTCTCAGCCTGTTCAAATCTATCTATCTATCTATCTATCTATCTATCTATCTATCTATCTATCTATCTATCTATCTATCTATCTAAACTATCTATCTTTTTTCTATTTATTATTTATCCATCTATATTTTATTCTGCCGACAGATTCAAAATAATAGATTTCAAATGATGCAAATGGTCAGGGTTCATTCATCAAAACCAGTATCATTAAATTCATTTTTATCTATCTTTATCTATAACAATGAAATTTTTTTATATGTTTTTTCTTCACCATATTTGTTCATTCCATGATGAATTTTTATGAATAATTTAAAATAAATTTATTTTATTTTTTTTTTACAGTTCCTTTTTTATTTTTTTTTGAATGAAATTTTTTAAATTTCTCCCCATTAAAAAAAAAAGACAAAAAAAGTATTATAACTAATCAATGATAAAAAAAAAATTTCATACATCATATCAAATTCATAATTGATCTGTTCCTGTTTTAAAGGATGATTTTAGGAGTTTCATATTTAAATTAAATTTTGTTATCAAAATATTTTCCTCTTCAAATAAAATGGAAAATAATTTATATATAAAAGCATATATTTTTTTATAATAGGAGAAATGTATTGAAGTCCTAATGTTACCTATTAGATATTTATTTATTATTAATATAAATTTCAAAAAAAAGATTTTTTACATAAATTTTTAAATAATGGAGTTATTTGAATATCTATTTTTTTTTTTGTAAAATTTTTGCATTAAAATCGCTTATCTAATTGTCAGCATCAATCAATAATATCTATAATAATAATCAATATTTAGTTTTATAGATTAAATTAAGATTTAAAACCCTTATAAAAGTGTAAAAACAATTAAAAAACGATTTTAATATCTAAATTAAGTTTAACTATCATCTCTATTTTTTTTTATAAAATAATAATTTTAACAACTTAAGTTTTGGAAATTCAACCATGGAAAGATTAACAGTCATCTAGAGAAAAAATGTTCATGCCTTTACTAAAAAATTTTTTTTTTGAAAAAGAAAGAAAAATTGGGAAAAATTCTAACTTGGTTTGCCCATTTTTTTTGTTATAAATCTAATACCATTTCTTATATATTTATATATACATCTGAACATGGTATATATATGAAATAAAAAAAAAGGTGATATTTTAAAGTTTTTTTTTTTTTAAAAAAAATGAATTATTTTTTCTCAACTACCTGAAAGATGTGCATGAAAAAATGCATCGAATCTATCATTGAATAGTAGTGAAGAAAAATATATTCAATTAATTTTATGCCATTTTATGCATTTTTATTATATTTTATTTAACAGTTATATATAAAATTGTCGTCTTCTCTCTTAAATGCTATCTTTCCTATAAATTAAATGCTCTTGACATTAAATCTTCGCTTAAATTTTTGAACCCTGACCATATATTTCCCTTAATGGTAGAGAAAAAATGAATATATGCCCAGCCATCGGTTGAACATATGGTTAGAGAAAAAATGACGTAATAAAAAAAATTTAATCAGTGGTTTTAAAAAATCATGTAATGTTAGCCACCGGAAACAAGAAAAAAATAACGTAATGCCCAAATCTATTTATAATCTATGGTAGAGAAAATATTTAAATATTGAAATTTTATCGGTTGAAAAGTGGTATAAAAAAAATGTAATGCCCTTCACCGCTTTACCGGTCGTAGAGAAAAAAAAATTTTAAATATCACCACTGGATTAACAGTGGTTGAAAAAAATAACGCATGTTTATATCTAATTATGCTTTTTTATAATATAGATAAAAATAACAATATTTATTTTATTCGGTTGAAATTTTTTAGATAAAAAAATGTAATTTACAGTCACCGTTTTACCGGTAAATGAAAATGACATAATGCCTAGCAACCGGTAAAACAGTGGTAGAGAAAAATGACTTAATTTCTATATAAACCGGTTTTTTAACGTTTAATTTAGTGTCATGCTTTTTAAAAAATATAGATAAATATTCTTAATGCCCAACTATTGGTTGAACAAAATTATAAGAAAAATAAAATTGAATGCCCAAAATCAAATCAATAATTTGAACTCAAATTTTTAAGTTATTTGTAACTATTTTTATATCTACCTCAATAAACATTATATATTTTACCAATTATTTTTCTTTTTTTTTATCTAAGACAGAAGGGTTTGGTTTTCTTTCTTTCAGAATTTAAGGGTTTATACAATCCCGCATTGAAATCCCTTTAGAATTAATTAAATCCAATCTTTCAGGTTCATCTTGGGGAATTAGTTAAACAAATTTTAGCCTTTATCCAAACTATTCTAAACATAATGTGTCCCATAAAAATCAAGATAAATCAATACATGTTTTAGGTCTGTAATAACGTTAAACAACACAGTTTAGTCAGTGATTTATTTCTTTCTATAAATAAAAAATTGAAATATTGTATATATATATATATATATATATATATATATATATATATATATATATATATATATGGATAGATAATATATATATATTTATATTATGGGAACATAAAAAACTTGAATATATTTCAAGATAAAAAAAACATGTAAATATCATATATAAATTTTCATTTTTTTCTTTCAAAATTTAGGCATCAGAAGTAAATCATGCATTACAGTTGTTTAATGGGGGTATATATATATTCTATATATATATATATATATATATATATATATATATATATATATATAAGAAAGAAATTTTTAAACATCTAGATTTAATATATTGATAGATAGATAGATAGGAAATCCTAAATTTATAAAAATTTTAAAAAAAAAAAAAAAAAAAAAAAAAAAAAAACATTTTAAATTCCAATCACTTTAAAAAATTATTTTTCTGGGATATTTAATAAAATCATAAAAAATATATTATATAAATAAATAAATATAAATAATATTTGGAATGAAGAGAAAAAATTCATTCAAGAGAATAAAAAAAATTTTGTTTTGAAATAATTTTTGAGCCAACCCAAATTTTAATATGGCTTATTATGTTTATATGGAAATAAATATAAAAAATAAAAAAAGAAATGTGGATTAAAAAATTTTTCTTTCTATTTTATTGATTTTATCTAGGTCCCATTCAGTTTTCATTTTAAATTCTATAACCTTTGAATATTAAATATATATTAAATAAATCTTTAAACAAATAATGAAACTTAATTTATTAAATATTATTGGAAATCTAATTTCAGAAATTAATTTTTTTTTTTTTTCAAATAAAATAAACCCAAAAAAATTATTTCCTTTTTCTTGAATTTTGATCAATATTCACAATGACTAGTGAAAAAATCAGTTCAAATAGATATTTTATTAAAATGTTTTTTATTCAATTATTCAATGCAAGATTTGTCTGAATTTCAAAGCCAGTTTTATAAACTATTTTAAATCCTGCAGTTAAGAAATTAATGTTTTTTCCCAAATTTTGAAATTTAAAAAAGAAAAACCATGTAAAATGAAGAAAAATTAAAAGGAAAATAAATGCTTTTTTTCCTCTTGGAAATAGATTTTTTTAAGACATTTTTTAAGAAATTGCCTTTTTTTTTGTGCTTGTTGTTAAAAGAGCATATGTTCAATTTTTTATTGGATATTTAACATCGAATTCTTTTCATTTTTGAAATTAATATAAATATATATAAATATAAATATATGAAAAAAAAATAAAACACCACATATTTAATACCTAATTTAAATTTTTTAATTTATATCCTGTTTTTATAAGGACTCATATATCAAAAAATAAAAAACATTTTTCTTTATATCACTTGTTTTTTCGATCCTTAATTTTTGTGTATTATATCCTTAAACCGTCAGTTTTTTGGAATTTAATTTACTCTATTTAATGCCATATCAATTTTATGATGATGGAATTTTAAGGTCATATTAAATTTTTTTTTTTTTGTAATGATTTATAATTAAATTTTTTTTGGAAGGATGATATTTAATATATTATAGTTTCTCTGATATTAAAATTAATTTAAATATATATATATATATATATATATATATATATATATATATATATTCTTTGGATTTATTTTAATTAAACTTAATTTTTAGATTTCACATTGCTTTTTGTATTTTCATATGTTATTGTTAAATTTTTTATGAAATATCAAATCATTTTAAAAATTTTTTCAAAATTTTGTTAACAAAATATATTGAAAAGTTCAAATTGAAGACATGAATATTTTCTTGTGTTTGGTATTAAATTTTTTTTCAATTATAAAAAAGAAAAAAAATTATACGACAACATAAATATTTTGGAAATTCAATAGGAGAATTTATCATTGTATATATATATATATATATATATTATATATATATATATATATTTATAAAAAATTTAAGAAACATTTTTTTTTCCAGTTTTTAAATTTCATAAAATTTTTTAAAATGAAAATCTTCAATTTTGTATAACGATAATCTATTAATTTGGAAAAAATTTTTTAAATTTCTTTTTCTGTTGAGATTGAAAACCATTTATATTTTTAAATAATGAATTTTTAAATAAATAAGATATATTCATATTGGAAGAAAATAATAAATTCTTCATTTTGGCATATATAACTGTTAAAAATACATTATACGAACAGAATAAATTTATTCAATTGTATAATAATAATTTATGTATAAATTTATTTTAAAAAACTCATAAATATAATTAATTATATATTAAATATATATCTTATATATATATATATATATATATATATATATATATATATATGGTGTCCATAAAGTTCGTGTGAACTTTAAAAAATGTATAACTTTATTTGTATTTGCGATAGAAATAATTTGTAAAAAGGATTAGAAAGAAGTAAATCTATATTTTTTAAGGTTTTATTGAAATTTTATTTAAGTTTCCACATGTCCTCCATCATTAGCAATACAAAGGGTAATACGATTTTGCAGTTCACGGAAAACATTTGCCAACTGATTTACAGTAATGCCTGAAATCACATTAGTTATTTTAGCTATACTTAAAACTAGGTACATTAAACTTTATAATAACATTTTACAGATTATTTCTATCGCAAATACAAATAAAGTTATAATTTTTTAAAGTGCACACGAACTTCTGAATAATAAGATCATTATTTCAAAAAAGTTATCAGATGGATGACAAATACCAAGTAATTTTATTTTTTTCAA